GTTCTTTGAGCTTACAGTCGCATAAAAATCTTTCTCTTATCAGATGGATCCTTTTGAAACACAAAAATAATCATGAATAAGATAATAAAGAATTCATGCTAGAGATTTGAAAATAGATTTGAACAATGCAGATAAATTTCTCCAAAGCATATAATATGAAGCACTGCAACTACGAATATAGATTGAGCATATAATATGTTGTGTGCGAGGGTCAGAAGTGAGCTGAAGCTTTCTAATTGCCAGCATATACGACTTTCGGAAGAGGTTCAGATACTCATAGCATCTATGTTGATCGGACTTCTTCATCTTCTTGAAGTACTCATGTCTCAACATTTGTGTCCGACATGGATATGGGGATATGACCAACAATGATCCTTCAAATATATGCAAAAACTGGGAAATTCTAGCTATACCGTGTCCAAGAACATAGTATTGCATAAAATGGAGATTTTATCATCCAAGCTTCTTCACCAAAAATCAAAACCATGTATAACCAACGATAGAAGACAACAGAGCAAACCTGAAGATCATTCTTTTTAATGTAGTCCCATATTCTCTTCACAACATCAGCACGACTTAGTGCATTTTCACCTGTAGCAAAAACTTCACAAGAGCATCTGAAAGTGGAAGAGGAGCAAGAAAACCAGATGTTCCTTTCTTCTGCCTCTTTTCTTTCTGTTTTGGCTCAGATGAACCTGATATAAATATATATAAAAAAATTGTTATAGACAAAACAGCTCAAATCCATCATCCATTAAACCAAGTTCTATCATTCATTGCTTCGTGTGGGCAGCGAAAATCATGCAGGACCCTCATAACTAATAGACTTGAAAATTTACTCACCCTCTCCTTGCTATTTTAGATTTTCTTTCCGTTTTGGCGGAGTCAGCTTGAGCTGCCACATCAAGGAAATAAAAAATTATTGGCCAAAATCATGCAGGACCCTCATAACTAATAGACTTGAAAATTCACTCACCCTTCTCCATTGCTTGTTTAGATTTTGTTTCCATTTTTGCAAAGTCAGATTGAGCTGTCACATCAAGGGAAAAACAATTTATTCAAGCAGTGAAGACCAACTCTGTGGATAATCAACAGAAGCAAAACCAAGGGCAGTGCAATTCAAATGGTAATGGATCATATGAACAAATCAGCAAAACAAATATTACAGTTCTGAAAGTTCAATAAAGAAAAAGTATTTGGGTAATGTTCCTTAGACAACAAATACAAGCCCTTCAAGATGTAATAGTTCCCCTTCAAACATAGGTATAATATAAACAGAAGAGTCGAGGGACCCATTCTAAAAGAAAGCTTTACCAACTTCGCAGTTAGAGAAAATAATTTGAAGGGGACAAACTTGCTAACTTTGCAATTATACAAAATAATTTGAAAGGGGCCACCTTGTTTAAAGACCTAGCAATGGATAGAATAAAAGTTATTCCAAGTTCATGTGCTAACAAAGATTTAAACGCAAGAAGAGTCATGTTTAGCTTTGCCAAACAAACTGGTATGTGAGGTGAAAATAAAGATTGAATAACATTTATATCACAATCCAGTCAAGTATCAGGGGAAGTCATGCTTAAGATGATACCATCTTCCTCATTTAACGGCCATATGTGTTTGGAAAGAGCCTTGTTCATTTGAAACATGTTGATAGAATTTACGCCAAAAAGAGCATGCAATGATTCATCACATGTTACATTTCTCTTGTCCTTCGGATCTTGCAAATTCTTCTCTCGGATATAAGCCCACAATTCTTGACAACCTAAGTAAAAGAAAGAAAAAGCAAGGAAGAAAAGGCATTAACAGGTAACTAACATAAGATTTTGATTAGAAAAGGTTCACAAGATTAACATGTCCAAATGAAATATCTAAACCTCAGTTCTGGCCAGCTCAGATTCTCCAATAAATTCCTGAAGCTGTGGGGAAAGACTACATAACTTACTAAACCCACCTCCCCTTCTCTTGATATCTTTATCCACATTAGACGAGCTACAATAATTTGTTAGAAATTTACATTAGCATCAAGTAGCTTAAGAAATATTTCCCTCCAGTAGATTACTCAAATGCAACAATTTCAGAAACCATCTATTTTCATTTATCTAATGGAACCAGGATACTACAAACAAGGACAACTAAACCACAAATCTAGGGATCCTTGCAACTACACACCTTGATAAAATGTTACAAACCTAAACAAATACATAAACATATAACAGAAACTAACAGTATAGTTGCATTAAGTACTAATCTCTCTATCTGACAGTTGATAATCTAGTATGACAAGGAACATGTACTACCGATACTTATATATAGGATTACATTGAGCATACATATAAACTTGATAATGAACTTACATAGAGGAGAGTATAAGCAAACACCAGCAAAAGTTATAGTCAAAAAAGAAAATAAACCTTTTGTTCTTGCTTCTATGTGCATTACCCTCGTGCTCTGCCTCTTCTTCCTCCTCCTCCTCTTGCTCCCCTTCCTTTTCCTCTTCTTTCTCTTCTTCTTTTGAACTTTCAGCATTGATGGAAACAGGATCATCATCATCTTCCTTTTCCTCTTCTTTCTCCTCCTCTTCCTTTGCACTTTCAGCATTTATGGATATTGAATCATCACCGCCTTCACATTTCATCTCATGATTTGAATTTCTGGATTTAAATTGTTGGCACAGCATTATTTAAACGATCACATAAATTATGCAAGTTCAGGGCAATGCCTTCAGAAGAAAGACATAAGAAACTTATAATATACCATTAGTGATATAAAACTGAAGTTCAATGCGGAAGCCTTTTTGAAGAAGTTGAAGTTGAAATTGCAGAAAAATTTAAACATCCTAAGGTAATCCAAGGCTGGAAAGAAATAGATTAGTTTGCACCTTGGAAATATTACATATCACATCCAATAGAACGAAAATTACCTACGAAAACAAAAAATAATAATGAGCATAGAAATTGCTATCAATAGATAATCCCATTATTGAAATTTCCTTCATCTTTCAGCACCAGGTGTTATATATTTACATGACTTATTTGCATGGAATTAAAGATTTATATCAGTTTCAATTTTATCATCACTTGAACAACTTTTGGAGATAGGTTAATGGCTTATGTGCTACGGGCCTCATGTTTCATGGAAAGTATAACTTCACCATTGTAATCATCTTCAGCTAAAACTAGCAAAATTATAAAAGGAACATGCATAAATAACATGTTTTCATCTAAACCCGAAAAGATAGTTCCTTACAAGTTATACCTCCAACTAGAAAGTTCTCTCACCAAAGGTTATCATTAAGATCATCAGCTACAATAACCGAGTCAGATAGAGAATGATAGTTTTCCTCACAGTACTTATATATTTAATAAATGAAGAAAATTTAGAACTTGAGATCCGTGAGTGCATGTGTCCAAATGTCATTTCATAGAATAATTCTTTGATTGCAACAACCAATGTATAGACATAGAGGGTCCAATCCCTTTAATGCCAATTAAAAAAACAAAATCACCATTACACACTACAATCTATAACTGACAGGCAAAATAATTGGACAAAATGAGCACTCATAGCAGATAATATTAACTATGTCGAAAGTAAATACCATCATCTTCACTCAACGGCCATATATGCTTGGTCAGGGCTTTATTCATTTGGAACATATTAATAGAATTTACGCGAAAAATAGCACGAAGTAATTCGTCGCATATAATATTTCGCTTATTATTCGGGTCTTGCAAATTCTTCTCCTTGATATATACCCAAAGTTTCTTCACTACCTAGAAGCACAGTAAAGGAGAAAATAAGAATTCAAATATTCTGACAAAACTATCTAGGAAAACTACATCGATTAACGAGTATGCATATATGACCCATACCTCAGTTCTGGCCAATTTAGACTCTCCTACTACTTTTTGAAGCTGAGGAGAAAGACTACACACTGTCTGAAAGCCACCACCTCTTTTCTTCACTTGTTTATCAGCTTTACTTGCTCTCCTGCATAAAAGAAAAGGGCGCCAACCATTCATAACAATAATACGAGAAACTTGATGCCAAAAACAACTATAGATACTCGCATTTTAGATGAAAAACCTTTTCTTATATAAATGAACTCAGTATCGCAATTGAGAAATCCATCCTTATGCAACTGAACTGATTATTGCAATGCAATTATAACAAACAAGTATAACCCAAATACATATTATTTTTGCTTAATTTATTCTTAAAAAAAGAATGGAACTTGAGAAAGTTCCCCCTCGAAAATTGAACAATTAAAGCGCCTAATTTCTAATACAATATTACTAATTACTCAATAATCAAATGGGGCAAAACAAAACCTGCCTTGTTTGGCTTCCTTCTCCCTTGCTTTCTTCTTCTTCTTCTTCATCATCACCTTCTTGAAGCACGTTATTTTCATTTTCAGATTCAAGTGCACGTTCTTCCTTTTCATTTTCCTGATTTAAGGTTTCGAGGAAAATGTCGATTTGGTCCCTCACGAAACCTTTCCTATCAGACAAGTCGACGCCGAAATCTTCCTCGAGTTGTTTCCTCACACTGCCGGCGGTGGCGGTGTCGAGGTCCGACTCCAATAGGATTTCTCGGAGTCGGGCCACCAGGTCCGAGTCCGACACCATTTTTATGTATAAAAATCGAATCTGGGTTTTCCCCGGTTCGCAATTATCGCCGGTATATCGAGACAGAGACTTGGAAAGGGGGCTGTCTTATTCCAAAACTGGAGTCGCATGCAAGTAAAGCTTTAAAACACATAAAAAACAAATGTGGAAAATTTGTGGATTGAGGGCTGCCGTGGCCCGTCAGGGGTATTTTCGGAATTTTGTTTTTCTCTTGTTTTCATTTTTATTTTCAATAATAATAATAATATCCGTTGACCCAAACCCTTCACGTGCTTAGACCATTTTGAGACGGAATAGGCAATCTGTAGGGTTTTAGAGTTGAAGTGTGGGCTTTGAACCCTATCCACCAATTGATTTGGGCTTTATCCATCAATTTTTTTTAGTAACTTCGAATTCAAATAATTATATCCATAATATATATATTATTAATAATTAAGAAAAATTCTAAATAAATTATTTTAAAATATTTACGTTTAAATAATGTTATTAGAATTAAAAGTATAATTTTAATATTCATTTGTTATCTTTTGACCATAGTCCAACTTGAGTACTAACATATCTTAATGCCCCTTGAATGAGGGTAATTAAAAGTATAATGTTGGCACGAATCAATTTATCTCAATATTTTAAGGAATCGTTGTTGTTCTTAAAGATTATGTGCTCGAGCACCAACGACTACAAGAGTAATTGAGCATTTATTGCCAAATGATTGAGAATACTGAACAAATATTACTTTATAATCACTTTTAACTTAATGAAAAAAAGATATAATGCTGACCTAAAAGCATCTCATATATTTCAGATATTATTTTAAATTCCATTGTAAATAAGAAAAACAATCTCAAACAATAATAAAAAAAAACTTAAAAAGATAATCTTAGAATTAAAACCATAAATACGCACCCCATGGATCAAAAAACCGGGTGTGAGTAATCGTCCTTTAAAAATTTTAAATTAGTATATATTTTAGATATTTTTTATAATTTTAATTGATATTTTATTTTTGTCTCTCCTAAATTTTTAAAAAATTATTTTTTTAATATAAGATCTTACGTTTGTCTCTACACATCTTTCTCGTAAACCCACTTGACTATTATTATTTGCTTAAAATTTCATCTTCCTAATATAAGATATTACGTTCCTCCCTCCTAAGGTTAAATATTTTTAGTTCTATTCCACCTTTAATCGAAGCTTATGGGGCTATTGAACACAAAGGACACTAGGATTACAAAAAGGGAAAACTACACAAAATATAACTTTTATTTCATTTTTTTCTATTTTGACCGCATAACCTTAAGAAGTTATATTGTGATCACTTAAGAAGCTAGAATTAGATGGGTAATACATTAATGTTCTATTAAACTTGTCTTTCAGCGTGTTCATAGACCAAGCATCGTCCATAACTCTGTTTTGAAAATCGGACCGGATCAGTCGGTTCAATCGGGAATCGTTACTTGGTCTGGTTCAATCTAAACTGGTTGAACCACTATTAGTGAACCGGTCAGAATCACTGAACCGTTCGAACCGGACTGGCTAAAAATCAGAAAAAACTGGGATTTTTGTTTTTTTTTTAAATTAAACCAAACAATTTCGTTTGTTAAACGAGCCAAATCGAACTCGAGTATTGTTGAGCTCGACTCGAACTTAAAAACTTTAAAAGTAAGCTCAACTCAACTCAAACTCACAAGCTAAAAATTATCAAGTTCAACTCAAACTCGAAATATAATATTGAAACTTGAACTCAAAAAAAAATTAGAAGCTCGATTGAAGCCTAAAATTCGAGCTTGATTGAAGTGAAAGAATAGTTCACTCAATGCTCACCAAAAGGTCCATGATTTTGATTGTCAAATTACCTCTATTATTTATAGAAGTTAGTTGTGACGTGCTTCTATGTTTCTTAGCAATGTGAGATTGTTTTGTTCTCATATTTTACTCTTTAGACTTTTGGGATGCTCTTCTATGTTTTTTAGCCATGTGAGATTGCTTTTAAAAAAAAAATAAACCAAACAATATCATTTTGTTATGATTTTTTTAACCCCAAATTTATTTTTTATTATAGTTATGTAATTATATTTATTATTTAATATGTTTTACCTTAAATATTATGTTGTAGTTAATTTGAATCATTTTGTTTCACTTTATTTTTAACTTATATATATATATGTAGTGATCCGAAATTTTCTTTTATGTATCTCGGTGTATTTGCAGGCACGGTTCTTCTTTCAACAGCTTATATCAGGAGTCAGCTACTGTCATGCAAAGGTGAGTAACTTTTGTTTTGTGTCCTTTACTTACCTGAAAGAGAATTCAAGTTGTGACTCAGCTGAGCTTTTTGCTGAATTTCTATCTGAAGCAAGTATGCCATCGAGATTTGAAATTGGAGAACACATTACTTGATGGGAGTCCTGCTCCTCGTTTGAAGATTTGCGACTTCGGGTACTCCAAGGTACATCTATTTCCATTTTCTTGTCTTGTGGTAGAGCTTGAATTTTACTGTTTTGTTCCGTAACAAATAGTATTGATTAGAGCATCAAAGGGTGTTTCATAGCAAGCAACTTCATTGTTCCGATTTTCCATCTACATTTACATTGATGTGGAATACATTTTTCAGTCCTCAGTGCTGCACTCACAACCGAAATCAACCGTTGGAACTCCTGCGTATATAGCACCTGAAGTGTTACTCAAGAAAGAATATGATGGAAAGGTACTATTGCTTCTTATTTTCCTAATTTAAACTTTCTTATATTTGTGGCAGTGCAAGTTCCATCTACATATGTTGTATTCACTATTCTTAACTAACAGGCTTCTTTTCGAAAGAACTATTCTAGTCTTCCAGTATGTGACCGTTTTTTCCTTTTGTAAATTTTCTGCTTTTGTCAGCTGTTAATTGTCGTGTTCTCCTGTCTTAGATTGTTCTGGTGCTACGTTGTTTTCTTGGCCTTGTGCTTCGAAATTCTGTACCTATAATTTCTGGGCAATAACTAACATCATGCCTTATTGTATCGTGGTTGAAGATGAACAGTGTGCAAATCTCAGGGATTAGGCAATGTGAATTACCAGACACTAAGTTTGGCCAGTGCTTTCCATGGTTTTGTTCTACCACATGTCATGTACTATGTCTAGTTCTGTCAGGTTTAGAGAATGGCCACTAGTGAGAAGACAATGCATCGTAGTAGTTGTGTATGTCTTACTTTAGCACATGTTTCCCTTTCTAAGTAATATATATGCTAAAATTTCTTTTCCAACGAAATATGCCAGATTGCAGATGTCTGGTCTTGTGGGGTGACCTTATATGTTATGTTGGTTGGTGCGTATCCATTCGAAGACCCCGAGGATCCTAAGAACTTCCACAAAATAATTCATGTAACTGCTGTCTTCTTTTCATAAAATCATAGTGACAACTATTTTAAAATGTTGACTGATGTAATCAATCGGTTCTTGCAGCGAATTTTAAATGTCCAGTACTCAATCCCAGACTATGTTCATATCACCCGAGTGCCGTCATCTGATCTCGAGGATTTTTGTGGCTGACCCTGCAAAAGTTAGTTCTCTCTTTGTTGAAACCTGAGTTAATATTCTTGCATTTTATTTTTCAAGTTCAAGTTGCCTGAAATTCATATAAGTTTTAACCTCATTTCTTCTTTGTTCCTTGGTTCCTAAATTCTAATTGTAGGAACTTTGATTTGATTTTTTATTGCAACAGAGGATATCCATTCTGAAATACGTAACCACGAGTGGTTTCTAAAGAACCTACCAGCAGATCTCATGGATGAGAACACGATGAACAACCAGTTCGAAGAATCTGATCAACCGATGCAAAGTGTTGACGAGATCATGCAGATCATTTCCGAAGCCACTATCCCCGCAGCCAATACAAATAGTCTCAATCAGTATTTGACCAGTAGTCTGGACATCGAAGACGATATGGAGGACCTAGACAGTGATCCTGAACTCGACATCGATAGTAGCGGAGAGATAATATATGCAATGTGATTATAATCGTGCACATAGAAGGGTGATCATCCAACATTCATCGAAGTTTACCCTTTGAAACTTTCGGGAGAATACACAGAAGAGACTATCATTTTATTGCAAGTGTGGGACCAAAAATACAGGTTTTTCTCCAATGTCAACCCAGAATCTAGCATTTTATCGGTACAGCCCTTTCGAAGTGAAGTACTTATGTTCTCTGTTTCACTTGATGTCTTTGCCTCTTTGAAGTGCTGTTATGTAATGTTGTTCAGTCTTTGTAACTCATTTATCTTCATTTCCAAAGAAAAGAAGAAAGTTTGTTGTATAACTTTATACAGTTCATAAAATGAACCTGTTATATCCAGCCCAAACGAATATTGCAGACCATGTACCTCGTAAAAGTAATTTTATGAACTGATTGAACTAGAGCACGGAATTAGGGCTTCATTAAACGTGGGTTTTTCACAAAATCATTGCTCATTTCATGAGATATACAATCATGTTGTCGAGGTTTGTGTCAAAAGACAAAAAGATAAGTCATAATGTATAACATGTAATTAGAAGTCGATTTTTGCTATCGATCTAACGTAGAAAGAAATGGAGCTTGGAGTACCCTTATCGGAGTATGACAGTTTTCATCTGTTCTTGCACTTGCTGGTGGTGATGTTTGGGGTATTAGTTCCGTCAATCTGTTCCTTTCACTATAAATCTTATTCTGCAAAACAAATTTGTTAATTTATCAGTTTCTTCACGACGTCCGAGTTCTTTACTTTCTCTAAAGCATGTAAACATATTCGTATCTGACAATCATCCCGAGTTCAGGCATACGGCATGCAAGATAATTACACAATTGCAAGTGTCAGTTAATTACCTTAAGTGTTAAACTTTGCAATTCTCTTTCAAGTGAGATGACTTTATTCTGGAGTTGCTCAAGTGCCTCTTCAGCAGCCGCAGGGCATACATCAGAAGTAGGCATTGTTATACCAGCAGCCTTTAAAACACTTGCACACAATCCCAGCAACTTATGTGCTAGTTGCACTCGGTCTTCATCAGATTCCTGTAACCGGTTCAAAGACGATTAGACGAACCAGAACACCGTGCTAAGCCCACTATAGAAGGATATCTCTAGGGACTAACCCTCAGTTTGTTATTCAAACGTTGCTCCTCATCAAAGTTAACGCAAGGGCTTTTCCCAATAGAAGCACGATATTGAGCAAGCTCGTCCCTTACACGCGAAAGTACAACCTCTGTCCGCCGCAGCTTGGAACCAAGCTCTTCGTTTTGAATCTTTAGCATGTTATTTTCCTCCTATTGCATCATTCAAAACATAATGAAAAAAAAGAAATGACAGATCATAGTTGGCATGACTTGAGGAGAAAGTCCACTAGAGGAAGAAAAGTTAGAAATCTTGCCTTAATTTTGGCATGATGATGAATTCGTTGTTGGAGGTTTTGTTGGCCAGACAACTTCTTTACTTCCCCTTCAAGTTCCATCGCCTTTTTCTTGTAATTTACATTCTCCATCTGCAGATAGCATAAGGAGTTACGTCCACAAAAGATGGAAAATCAATCATTCACCACCAACGAGAATAAAGAAGTTCAAGGTTCTAACCTTAAGCATTTCATTCTCTGTTTTAAGTAACTGATCTCGCTGACGAAGCTTCTCCAACTCTACTTGCGCAGTTACTAGCTCGGCCTGTTTTCTATCAATTTCCTCGAGCCACCTGTTAAAACAAGATGAAGATATACTGAAGATATGAAATAGATAATTGAAAATAAAAATTAAAAACTTTAGCTTATAGTTTGTTTGCCTGAGCTTTAGCCAAGTAAGCAATATTGTTCTTAATGAAGTTATGTTTTGCTTACCCTCGCCTTTCCTCAACAAATTCATTGAGCTGCTGCCTGAGCTTCTCAACCTCATGATCCTGTAAATATGATATGACATAATTCAGATAAATCAGGACACAAAATAGAGCCCAAAAAGCTTCAAAGTACTCAAGCAAGACATACCTTCACTTGAGATTCTAAACTATCAAGTCTAGCCTTCTCTGCTATTTTCTGCACTTGCTGGTTATCCAACAATGACTGCATTAAAGAGAATTGGTCCTTAAGCAACATATATTTTCAGTGCCAAAGAGCCTATATTAAAATAGTAGATACAAGTAAATTGGGTTACCACATAATTTGTCATGTCCAATTTGACTCCCAATAGATCTCGAATCACATCATGGGTCATGCTTTCTGCAGCTGCTAATCTTGCATTGAGAGAAAATATCTGTGGAAAATAACATGTTTACAGAAAATAATTAGCAAGTGCAAACTCCCAAAGTTTGTAAGAAAGTTGTGGAATCAACATCAATGTGATAAAGCCTACCTCTTTCTGCCGATTTGCCGCTAAGGATTCTAATTCTTCGATGCGCAGCCTTGCAGCAGTAAGATCCTCATCTTTCTCTAATTTTATTTGTTGTGTCAAACCCAAGCCAATGCATTTGAATGGGGAACCAGAGCCTCGAGGCTTCGACACATTTTTCTCTAACTTGTTCGATGAATGACTTTGGGTATTTGTGGAGTAACCTTCAGGTTTAACTTGTTCAGCCATGGCTTCCAATGCCTTGAACTGTTTCCAATTTTTATATTTCTCCAAATGGTTAGAATATCAAGGAAAAAGAACATATAATTTTATCTTCAATAGGCCAGAGAAAACGCAGCAGAACAGCCTAATCCAATCAAGAATTGTTAGCATACCTTCTGCGTATACTCCTTTGCCTGGGCTTCTGCATGCAAATTTAGTTCAGAAATATGTGTTTTGCATTGGGCAATCTGTTGAACAATAATGGAGACCTATCAATAAAAACACAGTACCTATCTTGAAAAGCTAAAGCCAAAGACGTCAAGACTCTTTTAGAAAATTGCATTCTCAGAGCACAAAATAAAGTCATTGATAACTAGAGGTTTCACCTCTCTATCCTTGTCAGATATTTCAGTTTCAAGAATTTGTATTTGATCCAGGGCTTGTTGAAGATCCTTCCTCTTCTCATCCAAACACCTGCAGATAGAAAGAATGATATATTTCCAATCGGAGCAATTTATCATCATTTATAGCAAGGGTATGGGCATAACAAATAAGATAACATTGACAGACCTTTTCATGTCTGCATCAGCATTTTTAACATTCTGCATTTGAACTTTTACAGCATCCAGCTCCAATTCTAGCTCCTCTCTTTGTAATTGTAAACGTTCAGCTTCCCCTTTGATAATGTCAACCTAACACATTTCGGATTTATTAACGTGGTCATGACAATAGTGCTTTCATGCGGCTTTATCATAGTGCATCGTCTTACCTTGTTCTCCAAAACATTTATGGTGCATTCTAGCTCTTCAACAGATCTCTCTAATAGCTTCACCTCAGCTTCCTTCTCTTCAGCATAGGTATTCTTTAATTCAGCCATCTGTCATCAAATTCAATCCACACAAATATAAGATGAGATTATATATTAAAAGGAAACAGAAATATTATTTTACACGTTAAACTAGATCATACCTGTTGAGCTTCCATAGCAATGGCTTCACTTCGTTTCGCCTCAGCCTGCGCCTTTCCAAGCTTGTCTTCCAAGTTAAGCACCTCCATCTGAAGCTCATCTCTTTCACCGGAAAGTTCATTCAGATTACCACTCAAGAATTCTATGGTATCATTCATTTGAGAAAGGGTATTACTCATTTCTGAGAATTCCACCTCTAAGCTCTCAGTGATCTTCTTTCTCTCTTTTAATTCATCTTCAAGAGAACTTTTTACTGCCAAGGCATTCTCAATATGAGATTTCAGCTCCTCATTTTCAGAGTGGAGGTGTTTCGAAGACTCACGTTCTCTTGTAATATCTGACTGAAGACTGGTGATAATCTTGAGCTTCTCCTGCAGTTGAACTTCGAGCATATGGCCATGACTAACAGCCTCATCAAGTTCACTTAATTTACCAGCAAGCTCATCTTCTAATGCCTCCAAAGAAGAAACCATTTCCTCAATTTCATCTTTTTGATCCATGGTATTAGAAGTAGACTCTTGTAACAGGCTGAGATCAAATAATAGACCTTTCAAAACCTCATCTTTCCTCGATAACTCTGCATGGAGAGAAATATTTTCGGATGCCAGCTCTTCAGCTCTATTCTCTAAGAACTCTAAATCTGCTATGAACTTTGATATCCTCTCTGCATTATCACACAACTCCTGAACCATTTTATCAGCAATTGTAACACCTTCTTTATTCACTGTGCCGAATAACCTGCTACCTGTCATATCTATAGTTTCCATAGAATCAACACATTTTGCAGCATTCTGTTCCCTCAACATGTTAACTTTCTCAATAGAAATGCGAAATCTTGAGTTTTTGAACCTAAATCCTCAATGAAAATAGATTGAGAATTTCTGAGTTCCTTCAATTCATTGGCTTTCATCTCTTGATCAGTTTGTAGACTGGAAATGCAAGCCTCCATGGAAAAAGTTTTTTCTTTCAACTGCTGAAGTTCAAGATTAGAGGCGTCGAGGCAACTTATAGAGGATTGAAGATCATATTTCTTCTCATCCAAGTCCCGGAGAAGTAGACAGTTTTCTTTCTTGAACTTTCTCAACTCAATTTGTGCGTCTTCAACCTTTTCTTGTAGAAAAGACAACTCACCTTCCCGCTCCACCATTAGCTGCTCTTTCAAACATGCATCTACTTTTGAGAAAATTATTTCTTGCTTTAAACTATCAAGGACAGCATAAGCATTGGTAAGCATTTTTTTGGAGCTAGCTAAGTGGACAACCATTTGTTCCATCTCTGACGCCAAAATAAGAGACTCAAAGTCTTTTGTAGACAAGTCTACCATTGAAATCTCAGCCTGAGATTCCAGATGCACTTCTTTATCTTTGAGCAGTTGCTCTTGATCAAGAAGGGATGTTACAAAATTTGTGTTACTCAAATCTAACTCTTTCATTAGAACCGCAAGTTGAGATCCCATATGGTTAGACCTTTGTAACATAACTTCCTCTTGAAACTGTAAATCATTTACCTTTTTCTTGAAAGCGACTAATTTGGCACTGAGCTCACCAGTTTCCTCTTCCTTCTTTGATATTCGATCGAAACTGTTCTTGATATCAGCTAGAAGTTTCCCCTTGATAACTCTACACATTTCAAGCTCTCTTCTTGACTTGGAGTTGTGCTCCCTCAGATCAGCTATAACAGC